CGAAGGTCGTAGGAATGCACCTAGGATTGATGTTTCTTTCTCGTTCGATCTTTGCTTCAGTTTAAACCACGTGTCACAGAGAACGATTAATTCGGCACCAACGAACAACGCAAACGGCTCCGTCGAGGCTGACAGTAACAACAATGGGCAGACAACAGCTAGTCTTCATCAGTTGCTTTACTCCTCGAACGAGGAGTATCCTCCGACATCATCCTCGGGAAATCACGTTTCCTCCTCTCAACAGGGAAGCGAGCTCAACGAGGATTGCCGGTAAGCTGTTCTTCGATGCTATATACCGTCAAAGAAATATTTAATCAACGTGGCGAGTAATAGAAGAGCAATCTTTTTCGCAGCTTCCAATACGTGCTTGCCGCTGCCACGAGCATCGCAACGAAAGTCAACGAAGAGACGCTCACCTACCTGAATCAGGGGCAATCGTACGAGATCAAATTGAAGAAACTGGGCGATCTATCTGCTTATCGCGGGAAAATCCTGAAGGTACATTGTCATCCGTGATCCGTGTCCCCGAATACGTCAAGAGATTGTCTGCGTTTGGGTAGCGACATCTTAGAGACCGTATTATTTTTACGAAAGGGAATCAAACGAGCTCGTACTGATCGCGATACGATATCGATATGAATAATCGGTCTTCGTAGACAAGGGGAACGATGTAAAGTTAAGAATTCAATGGTACCCTAATCGGTATTATTGCTCTCATCGTCGTCGCATTTCTCCGGTACGTAATACGCGAATAGTTAATTACTCTCTCACGTTCACCACGCTTGACAATCAATGTTCAGCATGAGCTCACAAGTCCTCGACGTTCTAAAGATGTGAGTCACCCAAACAGTGCTACAACGTCTCTGAAGGGGCATCCAACCTTTCTGTTTCAGTCCACAATACGCATTTGCTTCCACGAGAGGAGACTTCAGTATACCGAACGGGAACAGATGCTTGCGTGGCAGCGCGCAAGACCCGGTGAAAGATTGCTCGAGGTCGATGTTCCTCTTAGTTATGGAATGGTGGACGTTTGTCAACCGTCTCCGTCCAATAATAGCGTGGAATTTATGTGGGACCCCACCAAGGAAGTCGGCGTTTATATAAAGGTATATAAAAACGAATCGCGGACATAAGCGAAGGAAAATTAATCGCAACTCCGACAATCGCCGTACTGGTTTTATTATCTTTCGTATGGATCGAATGTTAAAGAGTAAGAATGCAGTAAAGCGATTCAACGGGATCGAAGTTATTCGCCAGAAGGTGAATAAACTCGGACGTTACACTTAAAACTAAAACGGTGTTTGACCCTTCTATCTTAGGTGAATTGTATTAGCACTGAATTCACGCCCAAGAAACACGGTGGGGAAAAGGGCGTGCCGTTTCGAATCCAAGTGGAAACCCGATTGCCGGGAGGCCCTCGTCTGCACGCTGCTTCTTGCCAGGTGAAAGTCTTCAAGTTGAAAGGAGCCGATCGTAAACACAAGCAAGATCGGGACAAAATACTGCGACGACCGCCACACGAGCAGGACAAGTATCAGCCAAGCTACGACTGCACGGTTCTCTCCGACGTAAGTGATCATTCGATACTTTGCTTCCCGCGGAAGCTAACAAAACTGGGTCCTGCGCTTGATTGCAGATTCCCCTAGACTCTTTATCGCCATCCAATTTGATCACGCAAAATGGAGGGAGCCCTTATGGTTCGACCGAGGCAATGTAAGTAAAAGTTTTGTCACGCATTTACGTGATTATGCAGCCAATTTTGTTATTGATATGCATCAGCGAGCCGTGTCAACGCGATATCCCATATCTCTAATTTTGTCCGAGTTGCAACATCCGTTATCATTGCATATCAGCATCGGTGTTTGTTGACGATACAAATTTTTCTATCTAAATCCTGCTTATGTAAGAACGTATTGGTCTTCAACAATTGCAGATATCTCAAACGACGCAACAAATCGGATAATCGCTTTTCTTTTTCCATTTCAAATTTACGACATTCGCTTGCTTCACAATTTCACGCGCGTCGTGTTTATCGTTTCGCGCTATCGTAAAATATCGTTCATCAACGATGCGTCAGGTAGTTTAGTAACGTTCCCTTTGTCGCATAAACTAACTGGTCTGTTCCGGATACTGCGAGTTTTTGTTATTTCCGCCGAGTAAACAACAATCCGTTGGCCGACACTCTTTGTGCAAAGCCAACAAAACACGAAATAATTTTATTATTATCTCCTCCCCTTCTGTTCGCCACCTTTGATATCGCAATAATTATTATTACACGAACGAGACAAAGTGACGAGTGTTTTATACGAAAAACATCGCTCACGCCACGTTAAATGGACTGCATTTTGCGCAAAGTCCATGCATACCAAGTAACGCATTCAAATGTGTATATACCAATGTCGAGAAATCTCGGCGTAGGATCATTCATTTTTCTTCCAACATAGATCTATTAATAACTATGTCGGTAAACAAAAGACGAAGAATAACGCGTGTTTGCGCATGCGCGCAAAAGGAAGTAGCGGCGCGCTTTTCATGGTCACGCTCGATATCCGAATCGAGCAAAAGGTGGAAAAAATCAGCGCAAATATTCATGAAGTAGCTTCCATTATATACGCATGTACATGTATGTACATTCGAGAAGAATATCGCGAGTAGAGAGATTCCCCTAGAGAGTCGGACTATACACGTTGCATATCGTGGCAGCTCATTCGCTTAGCAATGCAGAATGCAACGCTGCGTTGCCGTTTCTCTTTGAACGAGTGCGGGATCGGTGGTGGGGGATGACGAACGAATCGGTGGTGGGGGTAGAAGTAGCGCGCAAAGTGGTGGCGGAAAGCGTGGCGATGGTAATGGCAATGGACGATACGAGGCTCGGTATAAAGTGGTGGGAAGAGGAGGTGCCGGCACGGGAGTCGTGAAACTGGCTCGAACTGGCACAAGCCGGCATCTGGTAGAGCCGACAACGATGCTCCGAGTAAAAGAGAGAGACAGCCTCGACGACAAATAAATTCAGAACGCTGCACGATACACGCATCGCCGCGCAGCCGCTTCGGTTCTACGTTTATCCATCAGCTTCTTTCGTTGCAGTCGTTCGTCTTTTCGCGATACAGCGCGAAATATATCGCACGGCAGCTAGCAGGATTGCCTTGCTCGCTCCATCGTTTTCTCCCACCATTTTACGACGCGTGTACGTGATTACGCGGAAAACGGAACACGTTGTTGATGAAGGAGAGAGATCGTGAACGAAAACAGTAACCAGTGAGAGTCGCAGACATGATCTACCGTTGAGGGCGCATGTTTATAAATAAAACGGTGATCGGTGACCATCTTTTCGAGTGACTCGCAACGTTTAACCGTGATACCGCTGGCTCATTCTGTTGCGAGGCGATCGCCGGTCGCGATATTCCCGCCGGGGTAATCGATACTACCGCTCTCGTTATCGCTCATTTCCGTGACCTCGAACCATTAATCCTGCCGCTGGCTAGAAAAGCAGACGTGATCCAAGTTTTCACCTAGTATCGAGGGGACGCTCGGGAACGGAAGAGGGAGACACGTTCGTCGTCCAGAGAGAGAATTAAATCTTGCGTGGATTGGTCAGTGACGTAGCGGTAATCCACCGGGCCCCGGTCGAGTGCACGATGCACGGAAAGAAGTGCAACGATTTCTACATTGTGAAATAATTTTCTTACACTGTGAAATAACGTCCTTCGACGAACAAAGCACCGACGAGAGATACGGATTACTGCATCGACCGTGAATTTAAAAATATATCGTCGGCGAATTTCGTAGCTGCGAGGATCGAAAGGAGGAACGAGACATCGATCGAACGGGCATCGAGAGAGAGAGAGAAAGAGAGAGTATCGACGCGTAATAAAATCGTGCATTAACCTGGTAGAAAGGGATACGAAAGAAAGAAACGCAGTTTAAACCGGACGTGTGATGTTCGAGGAATCGCGGCGGCGACGACGATAATTTTTGCCTGGAGCGGAAGCTGTTGCTCGCATGCGACGCACACTGTGATTCAACTGCCTTTTATCGTGCGCGTAGCCATAACGCAACGACTAGCAAATTACACTCGAGTCTGGCGAAAGTTTATCATCGATCGAGCATCGAATCGAGAGCAAAGCCGCCACACGCCGTTGGAATGCCCTCGTCCGGTGTAGAATCTCGATTTCCAGCTAATCGTTCGGAATCGTCTCGCGTACCGAGTATCCTTGATCTCGAATCGTTACGCGCCGGCGATCAGAGCGTGCTTGTGCGTGAGATCCTGGCCAGTCAGGTGCTCCTGTCACGCCAGGATCACTTCCTTAGATGACGAGCAGCCTGACCGCCGAAAAGCTGATGCCAGGGCGGTTCGATTCAGCCTTGAACTGAGATACGTTTCTGTACGAGAAACTCCATTTTTAATCGCGCGCAAGCGAAAAGCGCGATCTAGTATCTCCGATAGGAACTCGTTCCTCGGCGGCTCGAAGAAAGCGCGGGATATCGATATCGAATCGACTGTCAATGGCTCTCGATCGCTTCTAGCAGCAGCTTCATCGAATACAGATCAACGGACGAGAAACGTCGTTAATCCCGTTCGGCCACGTAACACGATCGGGGAAAGTAAACCGATTTACCGGAGAAGGAAAATTTTTGCCTGGCCGTGTCTGGCTCGGGAGGAGACTCGTCGTTCTCATACGTCGCGGGAACAGCGAACCGCGTGTTCCACCGATGCCGGTTTCGTTTCCAATTGTTCGTAAAAGCGTTGGAACGCGAGGAACAGGAACAGACAGGAACACGAACAATCGGTCGAAGATGCTCTCGAACGAATCGTGGCTTGACCGATGAACGAGTCTCGGTGAAGAGTTGCCTGTCGCGTAGCGAGAGGTGCGTTTCCATTAGAATGCTCTCGGCGAATACGGACGACTGTTGGTATAATCGACACAGATTTTGAAATTGCACGCACGTACGTTGATCGAGCCAACGAAGAGGAGGCGAGACAGAAATTGCGGAAAGATACTTTCAGGAGATCGAGAAAGAGAGAGGAGAGATTTTTCGAATAGAAATACCAGCTTTCACATTACTACCGAGAGAAACGAATTTCCTTTTTCCCTGCTTTCTTTTTAAATTTAGCGCGGTCGCGAGCGATACCGAAACTAGAGTTATCCGGTTCGGGGCAGACTCGCGTACCAATAGCGATCTGATTCGTACCGATCGTATCCGGCGTCAGCCTTCTCGAATCGAGACTTTCGAACGATCATTTGGATCTCAGTTGCGAATAAGACTTAAAACTGCCTACGCTTCGAACAAACCTTAGAGAGAACAGAGGAACTGACGTAATTGTAAAAGCTGTTTTCGAGAAATCGGGGTAACAGAGGGGACGGCGACGAGAATGTATGAGACGGACGAGCGTCGTCCGAGGTTAAACCGGCAGGAAGCGATCGATTAACATCGAAATTTATACGAATGGGCGAAAAGAGAGACAGAGACTGGAGCAGCATTCGCGAGTTCTCGGATTGCACATATTCATGAAAGAACGAATGGCAAATCGGAGGAAAGATTTCAAAGAAGCCACGAATAGTCTTTCTGCGAAGATAGACGTTTGATTACGCTCTTTTCCTTCCTTTTTTTTTTTTTTTTTTTTTTTTTTTTTTTTTTTTTCCTTTGGAAATATCGATGGAATTTAGAAAGCGAGTAGTCGAGATGACAAAGAGTTGTCCTAGTTGGAGGTTAAAGAGTTGCTGGGCCATCAGATCGACGGGGAAATTTCATGGAGACCCCTCGGCTTACCTTCTGGAGCACGAAGTAACGGTCAGCGGAGGCCCCCTACAAGTGGAAGTCGTGGCTAAGTTTATTCATTCTATTTCGGAATTCAGAGCAAGAAGAGGTAATCTCATGCGCGGTGGATTAGTCAGTCTGACGATAAGGAAAGGCAGAAGCAACAAGAGGATCGACGGGAAAGGGATTTCCAAGTTGATTTTTCGCTTGAAAAGACGCTCCATGTAAGATGTCGTACGATTCTAGAGTAGCGTTGAGAATAACAGACGAAGAAATTCCACTGATTCGCCTCTTTTTTAGATCTCGTTCTCGCATGCTTACATAACTCTACGATAAATTAGATGATTTTAAGGTCAAGGATTAAGTTACATTATTTATGCTTTGGCACGTTTCGAAAAGAACCACTCATTACGAATAATGGCTCTGGCTGTTCGAGCAGTCCGCAGAGCCCAATGGCTTAATATTCGTACAGTAACGATAGGTTGCGGTGTCAATTATTACCGTGTTTGCTTTCATTGTGCTTAATGTCGTTAATTCGCGTTCCACGCAGACGGCAATCTTTCATAGCGTGCTTAGTTCGCGATGCCTCGCGTTGATGAATGCAGAGGAATTTGCACGGGATTAAAACGAATTAAACGCGATTCAAAGGAACGGTATTTCATAGGATTAAACGAGACACTTTTACTCTTGCAGATCACCCCAAACCCGCTCTACCATAAGCGGCAATACCTCGCCGGTAGTTGCGCCCTTGGCACTTTCGGTTTCCAATCCTGGTATCGTCCCACTAGTTCCTGCCTCTGATGCCGTGAAGGAAAACGTGGGAACAGCACCGGCTCTACCATCGCCAGCGGCTATATTACCAGACCAGTCCTGCATCGAGGCTGAAGTTAGTTTATTTGCTAAAAATTAACCCGACACGCGCTTGTGTTTATCGCATTTGTCATATTTATCTCGCGATAAGTATATTTCCATGCCAAAGCATGTCCCGAAGTACAGCTTACGTGATTATACAGGGTCCGTCGTGTGCGGCACAATTATCACCTGATGCAAATGCGGCGCAAACAACCACGTGGCTCCGAGCTAGCCGCTTCAGCGCATTCGAGACTACGTTTGCGAGCTTCTCCGCTGCGGATATCTTGCGACTCTCTAGAGACGACCTGATCCAAATCTGCGGCCTGGCCGATGGGATTCGATTGTTCAACGCGCTGCACTCGAAAGCGCCAACCCCGAAACTCACTCTGTATTTCTCACTGGAAGACAACGGTTCGCTTTGGAGAGTCGCTTACTTGGACAGCCTTACCAGCAGTGCCTTGATGAATAAGTTGTTAAACACCTTAAGTTTGCCTCACGATCGACTACATTCTGTACTCTTTCTTGGTCCCCAGGGTATTCACGTGTTGGTTACCGACGAGCTGGTAGCCAACATGAAGGACGAGAGCATGTACTTCGTTGAAACTATCAAAGGTAACGCGAAACGCGATTGATAACTTTGAACGTCTTGTCGATTCATTTTTACTAAATGATTTGTATTCTCTATTGCAGATAACGCGAGCGAACGTTACAAGCTGCTTCTAAAGCCTTCGTTGCGTTCTTAAAAGGTATAACTATTGACAAATTAATTGCAAAATTACGTAGTAGGTCTTTTATGTGTCCTAAATTTACCAAACGTGTCTGTGATTCGATAAGAAATCCGCTACGTAGTAGGGTGTAAAAAAAAAACGTATTACGTAACTAGGAATTTGTCTGTCTGTTCTTTCGGCTTAAATAACGATGACAAATTTTTGTGAAGGAATACATTTTAATTATTTATTGACAGACATGAATGATCAGAAACTATTTGGCTTTTAATTAATTTCATTCAGCTATTTCGTGCGATTCGATGGGAAAAAAGAAAAGGATTTTTAACAATGATAGGGACTTGCTAACAGAAAGATGTACCCGAGGAAATATACCCGTACTCTACATGCAATACTCATTAGAAGTTTCCAGTATAATTATATTTCAGGAGTAATCGATACTTCTAGCGTTAAACGAACATGTTATCTTTAACATTAAAGAGTACATATATATATCAGATTATATATTTTATATGTATTACTTTAGACGAAAATTTCAATCATGAAAGTAATATACAGACGTTTCAGTTAACTCTTTTCTCTCTTTTTTTTTTTTTATTAGCATTTATGTAAATTGTGTAGTTCGAAAACTTATTTAGGAAATATGCAAATGGTGGCGATTACCGTAATTACTCAATTTTTGTGCCACAATCATGCAAATCTAGTATGCAAATATTGTTATTGTTATGATTATTCATCAGCGTCGAATCAATTGTTATTTCGAGTTTATAGACTTTACCTAGGACGTTAATCAATGATGATACGCTGATGAATATGATCTCTATTTACACAAAGTGTAATATTTTTTTATTATCATGAACTATCACGATATCGAATAGCCACGAGGCATAAAAGGACGTAGAGCGCATTACTTCCACAATAAATCACTTTGCTAAGGCAAAGAAGCAAGAATGAAACACCAAAGTTTCTATTCTTTGATATTTAACGAACGTCCTTAGAATACAAGTGCCTTATTTTCTCTTTTTCTTTCCTTTTTTGTTCATTAGCAAAGTGTTAGAATTTATTTAATAAGCGTTTGACAATTAGGAATAATGATAATTGCTTTGCCACGAAAACACATGTTAACTCTATTTCGCAGTACAAACTAGAGGAAGATAAACTTTTCCTTGAACATCTTCGTAAATCATGGTCAACATACCAAGTATTATAATTTACTACCAAATGTTAAATCGTAAGCTAGGAGTTTTGCAAAGAATCAATTCCAGAATCAGTAATAAATAGATGCGAATTCCTGAATGTATGTCATTATGGCTACTAATGTCATTTTCTATATTTTATGTACAATCAAACGTACCTTTATACGTGGATTAAACCAATAGCGCATCTCAATGCTCAATGGGTCGTGAAACGCGTGTCGTTTTTACATTACTCGAAAGAATTGTATAACAATCGTTAGGATTGTACATGTGAAGAATAACTATCTTTGTATATTTTAATTTAGATACTATGTAAAGCGAACTCAAGGTAGGAATTTGATAACATCCACCGTGGCACACACAAGTGTGTGTAATTCGGTTGCATGTTGTATACTTCGATAGGAATTTTGGCGCATGTCATGTATGTCACAAAACGGCACAATAAATATCCTCTGTTGCCAAAATATATAGTCCCCTAATAAATGGGCTCCATTTTTTATTCATAAATATATTATTTTATTTAACAAAATAGAATAAGTCGTAACATGTAAATCGTCTTTCATCGTACATAAAATACAATACACCATCCGCAAAACAATGTAACGTATCGTAGCGATTCGTAACACGATGCATATTTATATTCCTTGCATCGCATTCCATAATGCGATACCACCCTCGTGACGTTATTTACATTACTTTTTCTTCTTCATCTGTTTGTTTCTCTTCTTCTCTTCTCGCTTCGTTTGCCTCTCCGACAAGCACTTGAACAATTTGTAGACGAAGAAAACTGCAATCATAAAAGGATAAATTAAGTAATAACATTACCAAGAATAGAATAAAAGAGAATCATTTTTATCTAAATTTCGTTTGTACTATTCGTTTCGAAATACTAAATAATTCGTAGAAATGACGTACCAAGAATGATAACTACAAATAGGACGGCAAAAATGAAAACCATGTACGAGTGGGAATAAAACAACTGCATGTATAAGCTCGAACTACTCTGCACTTTATCTCGCAACGAGTGCGTGAACTTTTCGACTATTCCATTCACTAATTCCTGCTTTTCTTCTTTGTTCAACTCCTGATACCGCTGTAAGATATTGGACAACTTTTCCTTGGCATTGTCTGGTATGGAACTCAATAATTTTTCTTGTAAATTACTCGACAAGACACCTTCGTTCCGCAATAAGTCCAAAATATTCGATGCCATATTTCAAACACCGTTCGTCCGAAGCTCAAGGAAAAATTCACAGAACTCCTTCCTAATTGCAAACACCTAGTCGATAAATCGGATTGCTAATCGCGCCAGTGAAAGAGAATTCAATTGGTTAAGTAATTGTTCGCGGGTGAAGTGGTCGATTAGATAACAGGTGGCACGTCGAACTAAGTTGGAATTATATACGATGAATGAGGATTCGTATTTGGTCACTTTTGTTATGCAATACAGCTGATAAAACAAAAATGTTTACTGAATCAGCGTGTTTCTTGGAAGTGGTCAGAGGAAAAGGGAAACAGCAACCGATTTACAGTTCTGATATTGCAGATACATCAAAAAGATACTCTTAACTATACCAATTAACAGGGACTAAGTTCCTAACGTAATTCGCCTTTGAAAAACTCAATAAAATATTTACCAAAAATTAGAGCAACTACGCTCAACAAGGATAAGAGCATCACAGTTTGCATAGTGAAGTCATTGCCAGGTGTCGGCTGTGGAAGACTATCGCTTCCATGAAGACTTTTCAACAGATCCTCCCTGAGAATCGATTTTTCTTCATCCGAGATGCCGGTCATCGAGTCAAGCATCTCGAGAAGCTGTTCCGTTGTTGGCATCTTTCCTTCGAATCCAGGAACCACATCTGGAGGTATGGTTGCATCGGAAGCCGCTTCTGATACGACATTCGCTGCATCATCCGCATTCGCTAATGCAACAGCTAGAAGGCCACTTGCAAGTATCATCCACATCCTAATTAGAAAGATTATTTGATTATATTGGTAGATTTTTAACTGCAGTCATATCCAGATGTGCACGTTCCCTTCGAAGATTAGATAAGGATATTTTTACGCGGCAATGATAGCGGACATTGAAATCACCATATGTTCATCCATTCAAAAAGTTTAAGGACGTCGCTTAGAAAAACGTAAGACGTATCGTTGTATTCGTTCTACAATCGATTTATACGTTTACAATAGAAGATTATTAGAGTTACTCACAGCGTTTGAATTGTACTTTACTAGCGTACCTGGAAGAATTCATCTTCGTTTGTAGGAAGAACTAAAATAATCCGAGAACACCTTGGGTCACCGGTCAACGATTAAGCAGTCGAAGAGCAATTTAATGTCAAAAAAGAATGGAAGAAATCTGCAAGGAATTGAATGCTTCCGCAAAAGATGATCGTCACTCGTGTTTGGCGGGAAGATAAACAATGATCAAACATGCGACCGATGATTGGCCAACTCGGAATAGGTTCCTTATCTTATTGGCAGTCATGTGTTCAACAGGCCAACGTGGCCGCTTCCAACGTGTTCACCGAAAAGCCACGAAATGCTAGTCAACCTTGGCTAAATGACCTGGCCACGTAGATTAAAACGCTTTAAGCAGATGCATTGTGTTTCTTGCACGTTGCCAAGAAATATCGAACGCTGCATCGTGTGGGATCATACAAAACCATATATGTGTTTAACTATTAACTATGTTATTAACATTTTGTAAATTATAACAGAGAATATCGAGAATACTGAAATCATTGTATTCCTCGGGGTTAATATCATTCGTAATTGATGGTCATTACGAGGGGTCCACCTTTCGAGCATTTTAGTCAATGAAACCGTGTCTTTCATGTCGAAATTTCACGTGTCATGTTTTATCAATAAATCTGAGTCACATGCAACAGTTACAGGTGTTTGATCTATGCAACGAAATTCCGATATGTTGTCCTTAATGATTGATTGTTTTGATTGATAGATACCGATGATTGATAATTTCACAATGAGATATTCGCTAAACGGAATAGAATAGAAATGAACCATATGTTTTAGAATAGCCGCAATTTATGTAGAGAATTAGATGCCGCGCTTTTTTAGAAATTTATCTTACCAGCGAGACTGATTACTATAATTCCAGGAATTATAAAGATGACATTGCTGAATCCATGTTCGATTGGACCGTCAAAACCTTCGTTAAGATTCACCATTTCGAAACGTAGGAAACTTTCAATAAATTTTGGAAACAGATATGTAGTATCCGACTGTTGGAACAGGTGTCACGTTAACGCCATCTAGTAAACTACTATTACTATTTAAAGGTTAAGAAATTCATCGCCTATTTGTATTTTTATTTATTACTTTTTTTTCTTAATTTCAGTAGTCATTAGCATTATTTTGGTTCCAATAACTGGAATGAATTTTATGTTACTCATATTATTAACTATACATATATTCACAACATGTATTGATTTTTAAACATTGCACCGGCGCATTCCATTGAAAAATTGAATTTGAAAAAAGAAAAGTACAATGAATAATAATTTTTTCCGAATAAAAATGTCAAGACAGAAAGCATATAAGAGTATCAATTTATTACTAATTTTGAATAAATATAAATTGCAAATTTTATGATTTAATCACATTTTTAAATCGTTTTATGTCATCATTGATAAAATAATTAGTTTTAAAGATAGGGTACAAAAATAATAAATATTTCGGTAAATAATTCTTTAATGTTGTCGATAATATGGAAATAGTACGTAAACTCTATGGAATCTACGTGTCGAAAAAATACATATGATGGTTAGTCTATTTTATACCTCGTATATGGTTTCGTGGTAATAAAAGTGCGCCAAATCCGTTAACGGTCATTCTCATCGTGTTCTTTCGGTCAATAGTGTTAAAAAGTTATTTAATTTCAACATGTCATCAATAAACATAAATGCAGTATTAAAATTTGCAAAATTAACAGATAAAGCACATGCACCATCAAAAGGTTCGAAATATGCTGCTGGATACGATTTAAAAAGGTATGTTTTTAAAAGTTGTAGATAATGAACCAGTTTCTTATTTGTTCCATAATACTGTTATTTCAAAACAAAGTTGTATCTACATCAAAGCAACAATTATTAGTATGAAACCTTTAAACGCCGTTTCATATTTTTCGAAAAATACGCTTAACACTGAATATTACTTCAAGTTTTCTGTTTCTGTTGTCGGTGATAAATGCCGCTTGCTACTTATTTTCATTTAAATCGATAAAAATAAAAAAAAAAGTTTTCTATTTGTAGTTATTTTGCGAATATAAACGTGTTGTATATACACGTATAATGGATAAAATATTTGTGATTCTCTTTGTACAAAAATTATGAGTTTGAAGCTCAAAGTGTTCTCTGAATGATGTTGCTTCAGTGTGAATAAAATATTTTTATAAAACCCTGTTTATAGAAAATATTTTAAAACATGCAGCAATAAGAGATGATAAAATACCTCTCATTGTTGCTTCAGCAGCTTATAAATATTATCTTTCTCTTTGAATAGTGCCTATGAATATGTTGTTCCTGCACATGGCAAAGAATTGATTAAAACTGATCTGCAAATTGAAGTTCCTCATAATACGTATGGAAGAATAGCACCTCGCTCAGGACTAGCATATAAAAATCATATTGATGTTGGTGCTGGTGTCATTGATGCTGATTATCGGTGAGTGTTTAGACAATATAAATAACATGATGGTTATCAGATGAACATAAAGTGTATAAATTTCTGGATGTTACATAGTTATGTATTTGAATACTATGATAGTAAAATGTATAGTTTTACAATGGTTATGTCAAGAGTACTGAAATTTATTTATTTCTTTTAATACAGGGGAAACCTGGGGGTAGTAATATTTAATCACAGTAACGAAGAATTTAAGATCTCACCAGGAGATCGTATAGCCCAATTAATTTGTGAAAACATAACATATCCTGAACTTTTGGAAGTAAATAATTTAGATAACACAGACAGAGGTGATGGAGGATTTGGTTCAACAGGAAAGAACTAAAATAGTAATAGAAAGATATTATTTTTTTGTATACCTCTTTAATATTTTAATTACTTCTATTGCTGAATCTTATATTTTTCTATCTCGATGTATTAAGTATCAATAATATAATAAAATGGCTATGATTTTTGTATAACATTTTAATATTTTTTTCTATTGATACAAAGGTATAATACATGTAAATATCTATCTATTGTAATTTATATTTTTGCAAGAGGAACTAGATTTGTACATTGTGTTGGAGTCTTTATCAAACTTTGAACATTCTTAAATTCCTTGTGTTTTGCATCTGCCAGCAATTTAAAAATAATATTCTCTGAAGTAGCTATATGACATCCTATTTCTCTCATCCTCTGTGAAAAGTATTATATAGGTTAATTGCTATATCCAGTTATAATGTTTTGTTTGTTTCCATATAATATTGTTATATTTTTACCTCCAAGGCCAGTAATCTATCTTCTTGAGTACGTGAAGTACAGCAATCTGCTACAGTATGTACTTCATATCCACTTTGTCTTAGGTCAATAGCCGTATTCTCTACGCATACATGTGTTTCCAATCCAATAAGAATAATTGAATCTGGTTTTTGACCAGAACAAATAGTAGAGAGTGCTTTGTTGATCTAAAATTTATTTTAAAAATTATCTTAAAAAATAGTATAACATTATTATCTATGAAAAAAACAATTATATAATGATTATACTTCAGGAGTACACATGCTAAATTGAGTCTTCTCGAATGGTCCCATAGCCTTAGATATATCAAATTGGGGAATTGTTTTGCCCAAAGCCTTTGGATTTTGCTCAGAAACGATCATGGGCACATTTAAAAGTTGTAATGCATTTATCTGTGAATATATGCAGAATATAATCTAGTTGCACTATGTAGTTTAACCAAACATTATCACATAACCTTGAATTTTTGTTGCTACTGTATTTTGTTACAGTAGTAATAATCTAAATTCTGTCGAATGGCATAAATATCGTACCATGTACAACATCCGATAATATTTACCAATTTTACCGAGTTTTTCGTGACATTCTCAAATTCGTACATGACTTTAGCGAATCTTTCTTGAACATCGCATATTAGTAGAACGCTTTTCCCCTGTTTTAGAATTGCCCTGGCAGCGTTCATCGACATTTTTACAATAGTCCGTTGAAAATTGCGTGAGAATATGGAATAAAATAGTTTTGTTACGTCACAAAGTGAACTGATTAGCGAGGTCACTGGTGTAAATTTGACGAATTTCAGTGCCCTAAGTTAACGTGCTTTTATATCGTGACGCACGTGATATTCTGTGATATTCAAAGTTCATGGCCAGTCTTAGCTTTACTAACTTTAGACGTGTTGCACTTAATCGATTTTCGACGAACCCTCGTGATACGCGAGCAACACGATAAAGCGTGTAAAGATTCAGTAATTATCAGTAATTATAAAAATACAAAAATTTTCATCTTTAAAAATATATCGTTTATTTTATCTATACTCTTTTACAGATGTAACGTGGCTTGTTGAGAAGCCTGTCGTAAGAAATTATTAAAGACTTTTATTACCTGTTGTAATACAAGTATAAATTGTAAACATAGAAATCGAAAGGTTAAGGTTAACCGTGTAATTGTATAACTACATTACGAGACTGTCGTTCAGAAAAATGTGCGTGTACACGAAACAAGCATATACAGCGAATCTCAATCCGTATGATATATTTTCTAATATTCCGTGGTGTAAATTTAGTGATTCAAATAGATTGGTTGGCGCGTGCGTGTTGCTACAGCGACCCAGGTGCCAGTCGAACGTAGGAAAGTCACATAGAGCAGCAGCGACAAGCGGTAGTCAAACAATGCTGTCCCGGGTGGTCGGATGTACGGTTTCGTTTTGAGTTTTATAAATCTGATCGGGTTGATCCAATCAATCGGTATGATGTTCGCGTACAGTTCGACTCAGGAATCGCATTCGTTCTAATGATCTAAATTGGTGTTTAATCAATCTGTCGAATCGTGTAGTTTGATCGAGTTTGTAAACAAAGAATGGCCGTGGAGCCTCGTGAGACCGGGCATACGAAGCCGCTGGTGCAGCTTTTTCCGAAAGCATCAGAGTGCGTGTATACGAGTTGTTATTGGTAAGTGTTCCAGCGAGAGCTGCTCGATTTATCTAGCAACGAAAATATTGATTTGAACAAATAAACTTGTCGTATTGCGGTATATCCCGCGATGGATCGATACATTGCAGTAGTACAGAGACGGCAGTGCGATATACCGCCGCCATCTTTGAAACGTACGAAATATCCACCAATCACGATGCACCGTTTGCTCCGCTTCGAAAAAACCCGCGCGTTTTCATGCCCTGCTTATTATTGCTAGAATTACGGATTATGCCTTTGTTATCTTTGATCAGCAGAAACGTACAAGTCTAACACGTTTCTTCGATTAATAATGCATGCATGCTAGTAGGTAGATCGTAGGTAGATCGGGAAACTCTATCAACATTAACGTGTATTTTCCGTGCTTCAGCTCGCACGTATTTGCGACGTTTATTTCATGACATACACGCAGCCAACCAACCGTGTATTAATCACCGTATCCAACCTCGTTTCTGTCGTCTGCCCCATAAAGCTTCGAATACAATCATTTTACGAGTCACGCGATTTCTCATCTACATTCGACAATATTCCCATGCACCGTTCACGTTTCCATTTGCTTGCATACATTTTACGATATTTCTTCATCGGAAACACACACTTTTCCCACTTCTATGCATCCTTCCTGTTCCGATTTATCGCGATCGAAACTGACCATTTCGAGCCATCGTTTTCTTTTCTTCCTTCTCTCATTCGCCGTTCGTGTTGCACCGTGTTGCATCACATTTGCACACATCTAAAACGCGTGTTTAATTCCTGGAACACGTTCGTCTGCAAGAACAAACTGTGTTATTCCAGCGAGGAAAATGTATGGAAGCTCTGTCAGGATGTAGCGACCAGACACGGATCGGAATTACAGCATTGCTATGTTGCTTTCGTGAGCAACTCCTGGCGTAGCGTACCGCTTTGGCGACAACGGGCAGGAAAGGACGAAGATAAGCTCGTAGTTTGGGTCAGTTGGAAAAAAAAAAAAAATAAAAAAAAATAAAAAAGAGAGAAAGCTATTATTAACGTCGAAGATACAACGATTTCTCCTTTTTAAGCCTGTACTATGATAGAACTGGCTGTGGGAAAAAAAAAACGTGTCTGTTTGTATTCATAGGACTACCACGTAATCCTTATCTACGCACCCGATGAAAGGGCGGTCGTATACGATTTAGATAGCGCGTTGCCGTTTCCGACGCATTTCTGGAAATACGCGATGGAAACGTTTAGATCGGACGAAGTGCTGCAACCGGAGCACCACAGAAGATTCCGACTGGTCCCGGCCAACGTGTACATGCGAGAATTCGCCTCGGATCGGCATCATATGAAGCGCGAGGATGGAACATGGATCAAGACACCGCCGGATTATCCTCCGATCTCAACAGCAAGTACGTTTATCGAAATAGGTTAAGGGATACGCATACGCCATGATAACACCTCTGGGCAAAACTTTCTTTTTCTTATCACACATGCATTTGTTTTTTTTTTTTTGCAAACATTCCAGCGTGCAAGGACAACTTGGATACCTTTATTAACATGGACCCAGGGACCGGGTTTGGTGTTGTAATGACTTTAGATCAATTATTCGACCGATATCATAGGCCGAACGCGATCCCAACGGCTCCCCGTACACCTCATCCGCAACCGACACCGACTTAAGTAAACTGATAAGTAAGTTCCGCCAGGATACCGATTGTTTGCTTCGATTTCCAATTATCAAAAAAAAAAAAGAATCAATTGTATGGCCTAAGGGAATTGGTTAGGTGCATGTACCTTTGTGAACTGAAATATTCAGTTAAAATTCGATGATAAACGTTGCTTGAACGTTGCTGATCGTACAAAGTCGCAGCCACGTTTCTGCGAACGCTGATAGCTAGATTGGAACCGATCAATTCGTTTCTGTGAACATTCCTGATTTTCCAGTATGCCGTTTTGTCACAGCCCCTCTTTAAATGTGACGCACTCTTTCTTTGGTTTTTTACTTTTCTTCCTACCTCTGATCGAGTTCAATTGCAAGATAACTTTACTTCACGCACAATATTCTTTTTTAAGTGTCGTTGGTTAATATTAGTTGGTTAATTAATTTCGCACAGTACTATTATTGTCGAACGCTACGGTTCCAGTGATAACTTTGAAATTCTTCCATTCTGTCGGGAAATCAAAACTGCAAGGTAGCCTACGTCTTTGGGAGAAGCAATCTTTGCAACGGTGGTATCACTGTATCCTTGCGGATAACGATTATTCGACGAAATATTCGATACTGTTAGCCAAAGATAGCGCTATGGTTGCGAACGGTGCTTCCCGCAAAGACGTGCGCCCCCTCTCGTTAAATGTATTTGTAGAAAAAAATGGGAAAAAGTAGAAAAAAAAAATGGCTCGCGTTGTCTATATCGATACGCAAAGTTTCCATTCGAGTGATTTAGCTTATCGCGTGTGAATAACGATCGTGCTGTGCTGCTTTTTCCAATAGTCTCGATAACTATTTGCCTGTTGTATTTCTAGGCTATGCTGATATGTTTGTTTCCCTCTTTTTAAAAGCCTTTTTTGCAGAGCCTTGCCGAGACCCCACGTCTCTGTTGTGTGCTACACGTTAACTATCGACCGTATTCCAAGTTTTGAGTCGTGGTTAAAATGACTGTTCTCGTCTTCGTACGTTTTACCATAATGCGTAAATCTTTGTCACGGCTTTGCTCTATCGGTGGTATTATCGTTATAATTATTGTGTCAAAGACTGATGTATTTACGGGCGATTTCCGTACCCGAGGAGAAATCCCTATCTACTAGCGCGCGTCCAGATGCACAGACGCGACTAAAGCGCTTATTGTCATTGTGCAATCGATATAGCGAGGGCAGAAACTTAATCTTTGCGAGATAATGTAATTATTACGATTATTGTAATTCTTGTGATACTTTACACTTTCTACTTTGAATACCTACGCTATACTTGTCTACTGTTTGTACTAAAAACTGATTCTTAATCACCGTGCGTTCGCTTGTCGAAGCGCAATTTTCTCGATGAAACTTCCGACCGCAGTGGAAATCGAGATTCAAATTCGAATGTACGTACATATACGCGGAGTCGCATGCTCCACACGACCAATTGTCAACATCGAAAGATTATCTTCGAGTCAACGAATATATCTACCTGTCCTCTGTAGATCCTTCGCGAAGAATTTTGACAACGAAAATCTTGGAATCTTTGATCTTCCATAAAAGAGCGTCATCCGTTTATGTAATAAGCTACTTCCGTTGCTTCCCGTATCTTAGCAGCCTCTCGATCAAAGTACTCCGTTTATATCGCGGTTCCTCGTGTAGGAGTATCGAGGAACGTAAGATCGTATTGGCATGTAAATTCTATCGACGATAATAACTCTAGTTGGCATCGGGACACCCTGTACCGGATAGATGTTCCAGCGAACCAATTGTCTTTCGCTCTGACATGGCGTGACACGTTGTGATGGAAAATTTGATCGACAAGCGAACGCAAACGGGCTGTCGGTTCGTCCTATAGACAAGGGAAGAGGAATCTCGTTTCGAAACAGACGAGGAAGAACCGACGGTGGCCGTTGATAGTTTAAGAGTTCGTCCACTCTTTGCCTTCCAGAATCTTTCACTAGATCTCTTTGTCTTTATCATCGACATGTGTTTTTCTCCAATTCACGTATATCGCGTTACTATTTGCATACGTACTTGTAAGCAGCCGTATTTGCGACTATGAAATATCTAGTCACCGAGTATATATTGTTCTGACGTCGAGCGTGATCAATGACGCGGACAGTTTCGTCGCTTCTACACGAATACCGGCATCGTGTATCGTATGTGGAAAATCCGGGACCGATTTTTTTACTATATAATACCTTCGATTACCAAAATATAAAATGAAAAAGAGAAAAAAGAAAAAAAAAAGAGTAAGGAAGAAAGACCTAATCTCTCTATCGTTCAAGATATTGCTAAATATATCAGAAGAAATTATTATATTATATCATGATGATGATGATGATGATTATTATTATTATTATATATATATATATTGTTCACATATACATATATATATATTTATCGATATTTCATATTTATTATATTGATATATTTAATTATCGTATCGATTTCGATACACCGATAACAGAGTTTAGTCGAAAGCGTTGAATTATACAGTTTATCGGCGTTTGACGATATATTCTCTTAATATCGTCACTCCGCCACATACGTATTATACGATTTCGAAGAGAAAAGAAATGAGAAATCCTTTATCACGATATTCGCATGTTCACAAAGAGTTATATAAAGGAGAGAAGATGTCTCTATTTACGAACTTCGTCTTTCAAATCTATAATCAGTTGTAATAAATGGATGCACTCCGTTTCTCTCAGCTTGGAAATTTGATCAGTGTACTTTTTCACTCTTTACAGAACATTACATGCTCCAAGATCCTCTCTCCTCTTCCTGAGATTCAGGTGCCATTGTCATCGTTTGTCGCAGTGAAACAATCGAAACAAAGAGAAAAAGAAAAATAAAGAAAGAAAAGAAAAGAAAAGGGAAAGAAAAAGAAAATCGAATACTTCCAAATGGTAATCGAAGTTAAATTCTTCAGCGATTGATTTCACTTGTTTTCCTCTCTACGCATTTATTCGATACAATGGAACTTCCGTTCGCCAAGCGCGTCCGAATAATCGCTAAGCGTTTATCGATACTTTTTTCAGCACAATCGATTTTTCTATTCTCTGTTCAACGTGTTTTAACGAGATACTTGGTGTTTGTTAAAGTTACCGATAACAAAGGTTTAAGGTTTAACGTTTTGCTCATTATGCGCACAGTATTTCCGGCGTACGTTTGGTCCGATTACACTGTTGAAGATTGTACCTTAGGCATCGGAGAATTGAAAGAAAGGAGAAGCGATAACGCGCATGGATTTTCAAATGTATACTGTATTCAATTTGCAAAAATATATAACGTATAATTACAAAAGTTACATGCTGAGTTATCGTATTAACACCCCGATGCACGCATTATCGAGTATTCCGTATACTGCCCTTCGACCCTTACGTTCTGCTCTCTTCCGTAAGGAAATCTTACACACTGCGACGAATTTACCGTGTTTAAGACTTAATTATTAATACGTCTTTTAAGTTCGTGTAACATAAGTGATAATACATGCGGTATTGCTGCGTTGTCCAACAATTTAGCGTTAAGTATCTCGGAAAATCGCAGCGTGATACGCAATAGGGAAATCAACTGTCAACCATTGTATAAGATCCAAGGCGATTTGCGTATCACATTGCGTATCATATCGCATTTTCGTCGATAGCTGTCGCTGTAATCGTGTGATATAAATAACTAACAGTGTTACGAATATTAAGTTAAGTAATAGTAAGGGACAATTAATTTAATACTAATCGTTCGGTATGCACCCGTCGTTTCGTAGGTTCTTTCGAGAAAAGACAGCCTGGATATCTTTATTTTAAACTTTCACGTCGTATTACATTATCCCGAGGGTAATACTAGAGCAATAAATATTTATAGAATAAAAGATAAGTAACTAGAAGTTAAGAATTGCAGAATGTGACTTACGTCGATGCGGACAATGGTATGAACGTACACGTAGGTGCATATTAAATTCACTATCTCCTTTCGTCGTTTTATCAACGAGAAATTCTCGTCTTATCGAAACAAGTAGTGCAAGTTAGAGCTTCGGTTAGAATATCTAGATAAACTCCTTTCTTCTTTATTTTCCCTTTTTCCTTTTCACGGTACGAGCGTCCTTATCGAAATATAACTAGCTTTTCCCTGGATTTCACGTTCGATAGTACGGCCTGTATGTAGACATCGGAATATTGTTTTTCGATAAATGGTGGACATCACCTTGATCGTATTCCACGTCATTGTAGATTCCGCTTTGATTCTAAAATAGAAGTATGATTGAGTATACCGAAATTAGCGAAGCGTGAGAAACGACATATCGGAAAAGCGATTACTCACTGCCAGGGATGATCTAGACTTTGGCCTGGGCACATGGAAACCACTATTCTGCGGGATCAGGTCAGCCCTGTCCTTATCCTGCGGCTCGGAGTCCGAGCTGTCCGGATCTGGTTGGTGTCTCTGTCGTGGTCTCGTAGGAGCTTGGAGTCTTGGCAGTGGCACTGGTGGCAGTGTCCCATGGATACTGATGGGTGGATATCCGAACACAGCGGAACTCGGCCGAGTTGGACCCATCGGTTCCGTCTGAAACCAACCAACGATCTCACGTGTCTTTTGCCTCCAGAGAAACGTGTCAAAATATAGATAAAAATACAACGTTTCGTTTCCCTGCTTCCTCGGTTTCCTAGTTCAGTCTCAATCCCAGCAGGTGGACTAATCTCTTCGTCTAAGCTAAAGAAATATTAGAGGTCTGTTGTTACTTACAGCGTATACATTGGCAGTCGCCATGTGGTCGCCAAAGTGTGCCCACATGTAGGGTGGCAAGTTGGTCGGTGGTCCTTGTTTCACGGAAGCAAGGGTACCCACAGAACCGACTCTTGCCAGAGTTCCTGGAAGGGTACCGGGTATGCCACCCTGGATGTAACCGTACACCGGGGAGCCAACCGATTTCTGTTCGCGCGACCACCTTCGGCTGTTTCGCGAAAAGTACTCGTCAGTTTTCGTTCGCCAGGCGAAAGGATTATAGCGAGAAATAACACGTTTACCTCCACATAACCAGGCACACTAACGTCAAAACTATGATAATTAAAGCTGCTACAGACGCCCCTATCGCTACTCCCAAGACCTCTCCATCGACTTCGCATTGAGCACCATAATAATTACCAGTGCACCTTTGAGACGAGAGATTGGTTAGAGGAAATATACATTTCGCTACTAGATATTCTGATTACTTACGTGCATTGCATGTGATCGCCCTGGTAAGAGCACGACCCTCGATTATTGCAGTAACTCGAAGGACACGAGATGCAAGTCCTACCGGATTCGTTGGGGTCGTCCTTGTGAGGATCTTTCAGTCCAGGGTTACACGTACAAGTGAATCCACCCCAGTTGTTCGAGCAGGTCGCCGAAGAGTGACAGTCGTTCAGTTCCGACGATGCACACTCGTCCAAATCTAGAGAAATTAAAATTCGAATAAATCTTTTTCCTTTTTTTTTTTTCTTTTTCTTGACAAAATCGACGTAGCTGCGAAAATCATGCTCTCTATGTTGACCTTGCAAATTTGATATAGATCCAGGCGGGCTGTCGACGTAAAGGGCGCTATTCCCAATATTATTGCTCCTTCTGTGAATAACACCCAGCAGATGTCTCTGCAGCTCGCCTGCTAAACTTGGTCTGATTGTCCTCGGTTCGTAAGTGAGTTTCAAGGTTGCATTCACAAAGACACCCCCTTGTCCTTGGCTCACATCTCCCTGGTACACTCTATTTATGAAGGATCCCATATACTCGTCCGAAAACGGTGTCATCGACATGGCAGACTCGATCTAGATAACGAGGAAAGACACAGTCGTTTAATACCTAGATTCTCGCTTCTACACCAGTGATATAATTCGAAATTAAATGGACTGACAGCTCGATTTGCCTCGTAGGCCAGCGTTTGATACGGCTCGGAATCTTTGTCGGTGAACCCATGATCCCAGACGACTTTCCTGTCATAAATCTTGTCCACCCTGATCGATACTACGATGCTGATAATTTCTAACGGCAGAAAGACGCACAGTTTAGCTTGACCGGTTTAAATCAGCGAGACGATTAGTGTATCCAAGCAACTACGAACTTTTGCATGGCAAGGAATGCTGCAACCTAGCATACCCTGGCTTACAATGACACGCAGATACCCCTTGAACAGTGGCACAAGCCTCGTGTTGACTAATATCACAAGTACTCGTGTCGCCCACGATGCAAGTGTCGATTCTCACCGGAGGTTGGGTCGGCCTTCTGTGAAACGTCGGTCTTCGAATAGTACCAGCTGGTCTCGGAGTCGCCGTTGGCGGATCCGGCTGAGCAACTGCGAATCTGCAAGAGGCAAATTGCAATTAACCCATCGAGCTTACGTTATTTCGGGTACCAACCCCGTGCCAACTATGGCTGGCTGTTGGGTCCTGGTCGGTTGAGGTTGCGGTTGCACGTGCGTCGAGGTTCGATCCGAATTTTCGAACAGGTTCAAGTACGTTCTTTTCCCGTCAATGCTGACGAATCCTTGCCCCTCCACGGCGGAAGTCAGGATCACGTCCGCGTTTACTCCATTTACCGGCACTCTAACGCCTTCTGCTGATCGAAGGTCGCGAAAAGTATAATTACTAGTGAAAGTTGCGCGATAATTAAAGACGCGAGCAGTGTTTACCTGAGCCTCCGCCACCTGGACCTTGAATAGCCGAGACCGTGACATCAAAAATATCACCGAGAGGTGGATGTCTCGGTGGTGCGTAAGGTCGTTGAGTAGCTAGCCCTTGAGTTCCCGTGTAATCCAAGGTATCGTCAAGGACAATCCCAGGTCGGGGTCGGTAAGCATAGCGATCCGTGGGGGCTACAAAGGAAGTTAATCGAGCATGGCAGCCTATCGGCCTTTACAAAGGAAATTAATTAAGCATACTTGCTCGCCGGAGCCGCGTGAGGAATTCATTATAGACCGAATGCGATATTATCTTATCGAATGAAAAAGTTTCACCAGACGCGCATCCGAGCGAATGTCCTACCTGAATTCTTCGAGAACGTGTTCGAGGCAGCGTTATGGATTATGCTTTTCTCCGTGCTCGATGATATCTTCGTGAAAGTCGTTGGTAAATTCTCCGTTGGAGTCGAGGTGCTCGATGCACTCGCGTTCTCCAGCTCGGACGATTTGCTCGCTTCCAGAATCACTGTGTTCGACACATTCGTAGTGCTATTCGGATCGTTCTTCGTGGGAACCACGCCTGTTTGAGCGATCGGTTTGGTCGTTATCGGTTCGATCACCTGACCCGACGAGTTGCTCTCGATATTCGACGTCGACGTGGACTTGGTCGGCGTCTTGGGAACATTCGCTTTGTTGCCTAATTTCTCGGTGTTCGTGCTAGAGGCAATTGCTTGAGAGTCGTTCGTTTTCAAAGTTTTCGTAGGCTTGATCAGAACCTCCAATGGTAGCACAGGTTTAGGCGAATCCTCTTCCTTCGTGACATTCGGTTTGTTGGCGCTGCTAGGCTCCACCGCGGGTGTCGACGTATTTCCCTTAGCTGGGTACTTATTTTCCTTCTTAGCCGTGTTCTCGGGTTCGGCAGTGTTTGTCGGGTTCTCGTTAACGGGTTTTTCCGTGGACTTCGAATCGATCTTATCTTTCTGATTATCGTTCTCGTGACTCTTGGTTACGTTCTCCGAAACGTTTGGAGTTTCGCTCGGCTCCGCTTCCTCCTTCTTCGTGGAGGATTCTGGCTGCGCTGGGTGTTCGGCTTTCTGATCGGTCTGGGGTTTATCCGAGTTCTTGTCGTCTTGTTCCTTCTCCCGGTTGAAAGTGGAATCCGAGGACGGGGGCAGCGGTTTGTACGGAGGAATTGGCCGTCTGTTTGCTGAATTCGGAATTCGGAATCGAGGATGACGAACGATTAGAATAAGGAGAGCCTAAAATTTACACGCGAATTTTATTTCAACGGAATTACCAGAAAGATTCCAAGTCCATGGCCGATTTCCCGGTGGAACGATCTGTTCCGGCAATGGGACTCCATTCACGAAAGGTCTGATGGGCCTTTCGGGTGGTAGTTGGTTAACCAACGGTCTATCCGGTGCTGGCGGTTTCTCGAAGGGATAAGGATGGTCAGGTGGAGGAGGTGGGTTCATTCCAGGGGTGTCGAAATCGGGTGGTAACGGTGGAACATCGGATATTCTCGGCGGTCCTCGGTTATTAATCCTGGAAAAAGAGGATTACGTAGCCTCGAATGAATCGTAGACATCGCGATCCTGCGCAATTGGTGTGTCACTTTACCTAGTAGCTTGGATCGGTCTCAAAGGTCTCATCGTGTTGGCGGCAACGTTCACGTTGCCGTTCAACAATTTGACGATACCCGTGATGATGTCCTGTATGTCAGGATTCGCTTGTCGACCTGGAGAGACGGTTTGCAGAATAGGCGGCGGAGCGTGTTCGCTATAGATCCTCGGGACTTCTTGACGAGCCCGTCTTTGTTGCTCCATTGCTTGCAAATACTGTGCCTGTTGGTTCGACAGTCCAGCTATTTGATGGGGCTCCGACAAGAGTTTTGCTTCCTGCGGAGCCCCTTGTCCTTCCCCCGACATAGATTCACTGGTTGTTGGGGAGATACTGTTAACGGTGGGAAAGAGATTCTCTCGTTTATCCGTCCATCTTTTAATCCGGGTATCTTTTCGATTCTTATAGAACGTTCGATCGACTTACTAATAATATTCACCGGGTTTAACCTCGATGTTGTTCCCATCGATGTGATCCACGTGTTTCGACGAGGTGAACTCGTCGATGGGTTCCTCGTGCCTGGCGTTCGTGCTTTCGAATCTCACGTCGTCTCTGTCGTAATGACTCACGCTTTTCGAGCTTTCCAGCTGGAAGGCTGGAACAGTTCTTTGGAAAGTCGGCGAATCCTCGCGGTGAAACACGCTGGACGTTCTTCCCGGCCCCGTATACCCGCTGGCACTGAGAATTATGTCTTCTTGGGAGGAACGAGAAGACGTTTGGTCGTTTTGGATGGCCGAGACACCTGTGCGCAATTAAGCAACCGCTGAACGTCACCGTGTCATGCAGAAATAAATCACGCTCGCGCGTAACGAGCCCATACCCCCGTTTAGTCACGGATAAATAATAAGGATTGTCCTAGAAGAAAGCGGATAATTATATCGGGATTGATGCGCGTTGAGAACTCTGTCGGTCGTGTGAGAAACGCGTCGATTCAACGAAGATGAAATAATTTCGCTACGAACGGTACTCTCGAATGATTCTCCACGGTGTTATTCCCTCATTTTTGTAGCAGGTTCTCATTAAGAACGTGTTTGGAACACGTTTCGAGAGCAACGATCGAACGAAAGGGTACCCGGTGTAATTCTACGTTTCCTTAGACGTTAGATCAATCAGGCATTTACTTAAATCACCTGGGCGATGGCAAGAAACGTGGCGTTGTCGATAGCCATGGAAGGGTCGCGATCGAGAGTGGCAAAAAGTCAAGAAGATCCACGGTCGATCGGGAAGGAAAACGGTACTCGAACGGTTGACATTCTCGAGGCCGGTATCGAGTGGTTTGACCAACCGTGGACGTGACGCGTATGAAATTACTACTATCTCTTTCCTCCTTCTTCCTGCGTCCTCTGACATTCTCCTTCGCTCGCGTCGCATTTTTCGTCTTTCGTTCAACAAGCCGGAAAAAAGTTCATCGACATCGTCCAACCGGCGAGTATCGTTTTTGGCAACAATCAGTTACGCGATATCGCGCCAGTTGTCGTTTAATCTCCCGCGGATTACACGGTTTATCGCGTGATCCAGCCAGTTTTGCCATTTTCCCTGCCGACCGAGATCAAGCTCGTCAAAGTCGTTCATCCACGACTTTCCAGCGTTAATATCGCTTTTACCGCGTGTCGTTTGCACGCGTACGCGTCCTCTTGCGGCCGAGTTTGGCGCAGTTGCAAGGCGCATAGAAATTCCGCGGTAGACGGGACAGGAACAATGCCAGATTTCTATGCAACAAATCAACGACGCGCGAAGCAATTTAAGTGAAACTACAATCGTCGGCCGGTTCGTACAGATCATCGTGGCTCGATAGTAACGATCGGTGTCCTGAATATCGCGCGGAAACCTGGAATACTGACCGAGATAATTAATCGTTTCGATCGGGTACCACTCGGATCCGTGGCTCGGCCACGTGTTCCGATCTTGTCGAAAGCAACAGCCCGCGAACGACACGTTCGGCTTTGTCTCATAGAAAGTGTGCATATTATAGTATCATTTTCCACCGCACTTTTTCCTTCTTTTCAGACCTTTCACCGTCTTTGACCGACTGTTTCGAGGAATACTTCAGGTACCAGACAGTTCCTGTTGTTAACGGGATAATAAGAACAACGATCTAACGGGGCCTGGTTCGTTTCGTTAAAGGTCGGATTAGGACTCGAAGCGATCGATGGCTCGCGTCCTCTATTCTTCCGTACATCGCGAAACTTCACCGTCACTCGTCGTCAGACCATCCATTAATTATTTCGTTAATTATTCCATTAATTATTCCATTAATTATTCAGAGAAACATCGGATAAGAGGCGCAACTTCACTTTTCGATTATACCGGAACGAGTCGGAGGAAGGATTGCAAAGATGTAGCCAGGATATCTGCGCAATCGCGAAATTCCACGGCGAATAATGTTTTCGCTTCCTGTGCAATCGCGGTAACCTCGAATAGACGATCTATCGCTAATTGCTCGTTAGGAACTGTATACGAAGCGACACGATTTTCAAACAGTTGCCCGTTCGTAATCGCAATTAAGCTAACCGCTGCTTCGTTCTACTCGTCGAGCATCATGCTCTCGATGCTCCCTGTTTGATTTCTGCGGAACCGGTGCAAAAACGCGTTGACGAATGAAACGAATTCTTTTTCGGATCAAATCGATGGCTTCTAGGGAAGAAACGGGTAAAAAGCATCGTTCGAGGTACGGTTATCCTCGTTTCGACAAAGCCAAGCGCTAATTTAACTGTCCTCCTTCCACCAAAGAAACCGTGGGCTATTGTTGCACGGTACGATGCGTTATTATCGTCCAGATTACGGTGTTAGTCGCAGCCAAGTTAGTATCCAAGGAATGCTTCGAGTCTAGAACCATAGTCGCCGCGAAATAACCAGTTTCGTCCATTTTTAACCGAGTTTCATGGAACCATTCGTGAAACGTTGGATCGCGTTTGCAATTTAAATCACGGCGATATTTCGTTTTGCCCTTTCGTCGATTTATCGTTCCACGAGCTGTTAATTGATCGATTACAACGTCTACGTAGCGCGATGATGGCCGTTTATATTTTATCCTACGGGTTCGATCGGGGAACCTGTTACAGCGTACGTGTTACCGAGACTTTCGTTTCCTATTTGGATCGCAACGTCGTATAAATAATAATTATAAACGTGGCTCGCATGCTGCGAACGAGTAACGGTGTCCGCGAACACCATAACCTTGCTAACGTGAGAGCATCGGATAGGGATCCCGTGAGAATGTAGGTGAATTGCATGGTTGATTCTGTCGCAACGAACGGAATGCAGTCTCTTGGTCAAGTTGCAAACTTCAGCTGTCCTGGATCCTTCGGGAGCCCAAGGCTTACCCGTCTGAGCTCGCTGCTCCGAGTCACTGCTCGAAATAATTAGCCAGGAATTCTCCGTTCAGTTACACCTCTGCGACCGGTGTACTTTTACTTCGTCGATTAATCCCGACTTTGAAATTTCTGCCGTTCTTTCGACGCCTGACCCCCTGTCGAGGGAACGGGAGAATATACTAACGCTAGTGGATTCGCAGCTATGGAGATGTCCGCGAAACTTTTCAACTTTTCAATTCTTCATCCTGATGGTTTACCTCTGATTTCACGGGAACGGGTGATTTCCAGGAAACGGAAGAGTTACGAGATATTCACGGTAAACACGGCATGCGTTTCACCGGGTAACGAGGTAACATAGTTTTGTGTTGTGCGCAAAACGTCTATAAAAAATACTACCGGTTCTAGATACCACTAGATCGCCTCTCGAGATATGCGCGTAATGATAATATTTAGCAACGACTGGATCGAAGTAATGGAATCCCACGGACACAGAACCGACCATTCACCATCGATTCGTTTCAATCGCGCGCTCTACTCCGCGTTATATACGTTTCCTCGGCGACACGCAGACCGGTGCTCTTATTGTCGCGATAAATAGAGGAAGAGAAAAAGGAAAA